TCTCTCCTCTTTTCCCTACCTCATCCCTCCCCCACTATTCTCCTTCTTTTTCCCCCACCCATCTCCTCTCCCCCCCTTCCCTCCCCCCTCCATTGTCCCCCCTCTTCTTCACAATACTAATTGGATTTGCGCTTTTTTCCTAGAAACCCAAGTTAATTTTTCAATAAGCTAATTTTTGAAATTCCAGCAAGCTGATCATCAGACGTGGTAACACTGGCCGAAGTAATTTGGAAAATTGCCAAACGCATAGATGGAGAAAAATACTACAAATTAACAAAATGGATAATCCGAGTAGCAAAAACAGCACGCACCTAGGCCACCGTAAATCTGAGATTAAATAAATCGGGATTTTTACGCAGAAATATTAGCAGCTGAACACTGGGGAAACGCCGTTTTATAACAACAGTGAATATGTCGAGGCACTTTTAAAAACTACAAAGTCTTCAGGTTCCACTTCCCTTCCAGTTTAGCCCAGGGCCAAATATCCTGCTTTTTTCCCCTCTATTCAACCGGTCAGTTTTCCAAGTTTCTTAACTATGGATCTATTTCCTGCACGTTGTTTGTCTGTCTTCTAGAACAAAAAAAGAAATTAGCAACGCGCACCAGACTAGCCGGTGCGACCATGCGTTTTGTGCAATTCAGCCCATCGAACGATTACCTATTAATGATTTTCACTGCTTTGTATTTTAGTCTATGCAAAAATAGTTCAAACATTGGAAAACGGTTAAAAATTTCACGCACCAGCGCATGAAAGCTGAATTCGAAACACTGAAGGATGAATATCTTTCCGTGACTCCCGAATTAATAGTTTACCCGCCAAAATTTTCACGAGGCCGTAGGTGACACTCAAGAGCGCGGGAATGCTCAATTTGAATAGGCAAGGTTGGGCGTGGGCAGGGAGTCATTACCCTAAAATTTCAAGTTCCTGGACCCCGTGGTTCCCGAGATAATTTACCCTTAAAAAATTTCACTAGCCCGAAGGTGGTGCCCGAGAGCGCAGGAACGCTGAATTTGAATGGGCAAGGTTGAGCGTGGGGAGGGGTAATGATTCCCTGTTATTACCCTAAAATTTCAGCCTGCTAGACTCCGTGATTCCCGAGATATTAATTTGTCCGTAAAAAACTTTCACTGGGCCGTACGTGCTACCCGAGGGTACGGGGAAGCTGAATTTAAATTTGCAGAGTAATACGTGGGTGGGGGACGTTCCCCTAAATTTTCAGCTCCCTGTCTTTTGTGGTTCTCGAGTTGAAAGTTGCGGACAAGCTGCTGCGGACACACACATAGACAACCTAGTGACAATATGCATTTTGTATTGCCGTTGCACAGCACCAAAACGCATAAAAACGAGTCCAACCTGTTGTTGACGGCATATCCATGTCAAAAGTGCCAGATCACTCTGCTCACTGTCCACCTGTTCGTTAAGTCGTTGCAATGTGTCCAATTCGCTGGCAACCAGTAATTTCTCGGATCGCAATCTTTCACAGAGCAT